ATTGTTGCAACGTCATTTTCGGGCCTATTGTGCTTGGGCCAGCAGCACCACGAGCCCTATGAGTCCTATGAGCCCCAGGAACCCCACAAAAAGCTAGTACCACCAACCACCACCCGACCAACCATACACATTTGGCGGAGTCAGGCCAATAAAAGGCGCTCTCTGTGTGTGCTCCAGACGCCTTTGTGTCACGTGGCAATTTTTGCAAAAGGAATTCCAACAATGTAGACGTTTTTCCTACAGCAAATAATCAGTAAAAAAAAGAACAAAGTCCAACTACTTTTTTTTTTTTTTTTTGCATAGGCAAATGTCCCTTGTTCGGGATGGCCGGCGGAGTCCATAAAAAATTGCTGTTTAGTGGCTGGATTTGTGGATTTGTCAAAGGCCCAACGACGATGCGCGGATACTGAATATCTTCCCTTTCATGTTCATAATTTCACATTAGAGTCCCCAAAAAGGATAACATTGAATTTTGTAAAGGAATGTGTAAGCTTAGAGTGCAAATTCTTACGTAAATATGTTATTTGAGGAGATATTTATAGAAAAACAGAAGCTTTAAGTTTTAATTTTTATTCTGAGTAAAAAGCTTTAAAATTATAGTTAAATTCAAAGTTTTGGAATAAATATAGCCACGATTTTATTAACTTTCTATCCTAAACGCTTTTAGAATCCCCAGCAGACCTACAAAGTCCCTTAAAGTTTGGTAGTATCTCCACTCCGCACGCAAACCGTCCATATTTACATACGATATTGTGGTGTGGCAGGAAATGGAATCCATTGTTAAAAGATAATCCCGGCAAATACATAAAATGCAGGCAAAAACACTTGAAAGCAAAGTTATGAACTGAGACGATGAGGGGCAAACAGGGGAGAAACAAAAAAACAGCAAAAGGGCGTCGTTAATATTTCAAAAACAGAAACACAGCCTAACCGAAACGAAACGAAACAGGGCAAGAGACATAAACAGAAGCGACAAACAACAAAAGCAGGCAATGGGAGGAAAAGTCCTAATACTTGGACAATTGCACACGCGCCCACACTTGACTTTTGCCGGTCCATTTCGAATATTAAGGCATATTTGCCGCTTGGTCAGCGGAACCGAGTCGGACGCAGAGGTGGATCCAGACGGAGTGGCGGGAGCAAATGAATTAGACAAATGCCAAGCCAGATGAGACAGGGTGAAAAGTCACCTCCTCAATTGCACCAAATTTATGGCCAATAAGGAATGCTGCTTTTGGTATCGAAACCTATAATACCTACTCGGGATAAATAACTAAAGTTTACATAATTTAAATCGTATAAATCAATTAATTTTAAAAATAACAAGTATAAACAACTAAAGAAATAATCCTATTAAATATGAGTTTCGCAATATCAATATCGCACAGGTTCAAAAAATCGTAATAGCCCAGTTTGCGGTGAAAACTTTTGGTCAATATCATAATACCCTTTGCCAAAGCCCATAACGAAGGGGGGTTGTAAGCATGAATAAAGATATGTGAAGGGGGTGAGCACTGGCACTGGCACGCACACGCAAATTGCACATCCTGCTCCTTGCAGTCCCCAAGAAAAGGGGCTTCGCCTTTCCCCGAAGTTGTCAATGTGTAAAGTGAGTGCCCGCGTGTGTGCGTGCATGTGTGTGTGTGGACAAATTAATTGTTGACAGCGCGACAACATCTTCGAACCCCCAACTAAATTCCCAGGCTCCTGGAAGTTTGTGGGTTAAGTGTTTCCTGACACCAGATCCATTTATCACCGCCGCCCGGGCAGCAGAGTTCAAAGGTCCTACTGCATGACTGTAGCAAGGGGAAAGACTTACGAAGATTTCACATTTCTAATCAATACCTAAAAAGAGAGGGAAAGAGGATACATGTTAAAGAAGATTCCCAATTAGCCATTGGAAGAAGAAGAACACACCTGCAAATTTTTTCTGCCACCGCACGACTGCCACCAGTTAACACAGGACTGCCCGTTATCCGTATCATTAAGAAATCACTACCCTATAATAGAAGCTAACACATTGCACTCGTTTACGCGTTTTTTATACGGTTACCGCACGGTTTTTAGCTGATTTTTTACAATTTTAATCACATACACAGCAAAGCAAAACTATTCTTCTTCTTTTCTCCCGCAAAAATGTAACTTGCATATCGATAGAACAACATCGAACAATTTATCGAAGGTACTGATCGCGATGATTATGTGGGTATACGATTAATACCAAAAAAATATCACATAAATATTTATTTTGGCACTGAATTGTATTGAGATTTAGGGCTATTTCACAATATTAAAAATTAAATTTATAAGTTATTAAATATTAATTTCATCAATATAAACATTCTAAGACAGGTAAACAATCAATTGTTAAAAACGTCAAACAATAAACTTTGCGCCATAATTCAAGAAAGAGGCCATCGGTCTGGCATCCTTATATAACAGTCGAAAGGTTGCCAGATCAGCGTCCAACCAACAGCTGATTTCAGTTTTTCTACATTTGCAAGTTGTAAACAACCGCGAGTGAAAAAGCTAAGAAAACTAAAAATTTGTATAAAAGAGCGTACAATTTTATTAGTTCCCTGTAACAAGGCCACAAGCGACAGTCTCCAGCGATTACCAACACCTAAATTACAACAGTTTAACAATAATTTCATCGTTTTGCATAAATCTCTACTGCTTCAGGGGAAATGGCGGCACCCAACCGCCAAATGTTCGCTCCAGCTCCTCAGCCACAGCCAGACACAGCCGATCGTTATTCGCATTGGCCACAACCTGGATGCCGAGAGGCACCCCCTTCGAGTCCAGACCCATGGGGACCTGAGTAGCCGGCAGTCGGAGCACATTGAAGAGGCTGAAGTACGCGAAATCGTTGAACTTGACCAGCGGGTAGAAGTGGAACGGTGCTGTCCTCGGAGAACTGTGATAAAACAGGACCCCATCGTCACCCAGCAGCTCCTCCAACGCCCTTTTGCATTTCGTGGTGGCCTCCCGCATCAATCTCTCCGATTCCTTGGGCAGGACACTGTCAATCAGTCCGTAGATAGCGGCCATGCTGTAGTCGCTTTGTCCCAGGAGTTTCTTGAAGAGCTCTACAAATGGATTGAGTTCGGCACCGTTTCCCAGCAACAGATTAAAGTTGGCCGGTTCCTGGGTCATCCAGTAACGCCACATCTTCCCGGTCAGCTTGGTATTGGGTATGTTGGCATGACGCACTTCTTTACCGCTGACACTCTCGAAATGCTTTCGGATCTTGTACATAACTCTTTCCGTTTCTCTGTTTACAGGATTGCACTGGGCCATGCCGTTTGAGGCCACATAGAAGTAACGGAGACGCTTCAGATCAACCTGCTCATCCAGTTTCAGCTTGGATTTCAGCGAAGGTTCGATGAGAACCTGCATCATGGGCAACAAATCCCGCCCGAAACGGCTCATGGGTCCGGCACACACCATCGTTTCCTTTTCCTTGCCAGTTCGGAATGTACATCCGGCCATATTGACGGCTCCGGCAGTGGGCTTATGTCCGAAAACGCCACAGTTGAAAGCGGGTATTCTAATCGAGCCACCAATGTCGGTTCCCAGGCCAAAGCCCGTGCAACAGGCGGCAATGAGAGCGGCTTCTCCACCTGAAGAGCCGCCCACAGACCTTCGGAGATCATAGGGATTGTTGGTTCCGCCAATCAGCATATTTCTGGACTCAATCCACTTGTTTACCTCGGGCACATTACTGGTAGCTATGATAATGGCTCCGCTCTCCTTCATCAACCGCACGCATTCTGCATCCGTGGACGACCGTTCCGATTTTCGAGACAGAAGACCCAAAGTGTGGAGTTTTCCGGCCACGGCGGTACTATCTTTGGTGGTGAAGGGCACTCCCAGGAACGGCTGGCGCCGGAAGTCCTCGTCGCTGTACTCCTTTTTGGACAACTTCCGATCGATTTCACGTGCCTGATCCAAGGCCTCCGGGAATGGTCCATCCACCACGGCATTAAGATCCCGGTTAACGCTTTCGATTCGCTCACAATAGGCTTTGACGATGTCGTAACTTCGCGTCTTTCGTTCCCTTATCAGTTGGGCCAGCTCAACGGCGCTCTTGCTGAGCAATACCTGCTGCTCTAGGCTCGGCGGACCAGGAACCCGTTTGAACGGACCCAAATACCATCCCAGAGCGAACTCCAGCAGGCGGTCGGTTAGGATGTGGACCAGTGCCAGCAAGGCATCCAGTACGTGGCTCCAAAATGACATGATGATGTTGCTAGATTTTTCCGCTGAGTTTTGCACTTTGCGCAATACAAATTCGAGACCTAAAACCACAAACGACCAACGACCAGTGAGTTGAGATATAACCAAGAGGTTGCCACCAGATATGAGCGAAAGCTGGCGATGAAAGCTTTCCAAACCAGTTTCAGTGCGGAAAGTACAGTGGAAACCAAATATAGTGGATAAAACCTAGGAAAACCTTCACAGACAGTAAGTAAAATTTCTAAATTGGATTTTATATAGTTTTGTTTATTTTATGCCATTAAAAACTTGAGAGCGTATGATTAGAAATTTTTGTAATTCTATATATTTCTGTAGGAGAATTAGGAAATGAGAACAAAAATGTATCAGCTGGCATAGTACATTTTTATTTTTTCATTAAAAACTTTTAGTTTTAAATCTTCGCTCAATAAATACCCCTAATAATAATAATAATCATATGACAGTAAAATTCTTTTTACACTTGTAAAATGTAAAATGTAAACTAAAACGGGGATGTTAAATTTCAGGAGCAAATTAATAACAAGTAATTCGGTTACTTTAATGTTTCAGTTAGGAAGAGATGAATATTTAATATCCATATTTATCCGATGTAATATTTAACGGAACAGCTATTTTTTTTGGCTAAAAGCTAGTTGCAAGCTTTTCGAGCTTTTCCATTTTCGAATATACCAGATATAGCCTGAAAAAAGCTAAACAACACTGCGCAGCTGCTGCATATGTTTTATGTTTTTCGTCAACAAAACAAAACAGCCGCGCCGCTGCTGCTGCTAAAATCGTTAAAACTCGGTCAAGCAGATCAAAAATAAATTGCACATTCTAAAGTAAATTGTCGGGCTTGTGCGGTGAAGTAAATGCATTAAAAAGCGGCGACCTCGAACATTGCGAGAAGCGTTACCTAAAAATTCCGGCCACAGCAGCTCGTATTGAATTTTACCCCAGTGCGTAGACCGGTAAATCAACTAGCGAATACCCTGTAATCCCTAGAAAAGTTCAATTACCCCGATAAAATCCCCATTACTAATCACCTGTGCTCCACTATCTGTAACGTGATTCATTTTTAAATTGGTTTCGGTAATAGGAACGCCTTATCTGAGCCGAAAAAATATATGGATTATTCGATAGTGTGTGACATACGTAACCAATTAGTCAGCATGCTTTCCAATGACCTGTGTGAGGTGTATAAATAGAAAGTTTTTTTGTCGAAAAGTGCATTTACCCAGTTAATATGTGTTATTTTGCGAATTTAAAGTTAATGCTTTAAAGCAGCCGCAAATTGCCGGTTAAATGGAATGGCCAAATGTGCGAATTGCTACCTGGAATTAAGTGTGACATTATTTTGTGAGAGCAAGACCAACTGTCACCGTCTAAAGTTGCATTATTCTTATCAATTTTTAATTCCCCTTACCCGTTGCCATGCGTGGTTTAGTTTACCCGCTTCTAATCGGCGTCTATCAGGTGTTTTCTACGGCTTTATCTTCAGTAGGAGTGCGTGTGTGTGTGCGTGAGAGGGTGTGTTTGGCTTTATGGCTAAGTCCGTTCAGTGGTAGCTTTGACGCTGTTTATTTACTTTGCCTTTCTTTAACCTGTCCCAGGTGTGTGTTGCGCCTCACCTGATGAGTGACGTCGATGATATCGGCCGTCGTGGTTCACTAGTTATCTTTTTCTTAAGGTGATCTTTTATATAGATCGTTAAATACACTAAAAATTAGGCTTAAAATGGGATTAAAACAAATTTCTCTAATCAATTAACTATTTACAATCTCTAAATGTCTCTAATTTCGTTCAGTGTATTCTTAGCTATTAAAACACAACCTTTTTTTATAATTTTTGTGAAACTTTAAGCACGCTTCAGTCATAATATGTGCAATTTTTGGGGAGCGGCCCAAGGTACACTGAGCTTTGTACAACTCTTTAGACTCGGCTTAAGTTATGCGAGGTTTTTTAATTTTAAATGAATGTATATAGTACTATACAATGTGCTCACCTTTAACACGCAATGCCGCCTAGTGCTTGTGGCTTGCCAATGGTCGTTGATTACCTAAACTGCTTGGCGTAGATTTACTATCTTCCTTTGCACTAAGAGAAATATATGAATGAATATTCATATATTCTTAGCTCAGATCGTAAAAAAAACATTACGAATTTCCTTTTAAATTCACTAATATGAATGTGTGTGACGTTGTGCCCTGTGTTATAAAAGCTTTGAAAAGGTTTAGGGGTAAAACTAAAAACTATTTTTATATTTTATATAAGTAAATAATTAAAACGTGCCAAAGTTGAAATGTATTTTGAGAAAACCTACAGTTTTTATATTTAAGAGTTTACATTTATGGGAAATACGTTAAACCAAAGCCGCCTTTGCTTATTTATTTAACTGAAGGCAACGACTTTGTTATTGGTTTTTGTTTTTGTTGGTTAATTTCTGTGTAAATATTTTTCCCGGTGCAAGCTATATCTCAGCAAACAGTGTGTGCGACGAGTATATGACAGTGTGTCGGTGTGTGTCATGTCTGTTAAGTGGGGCCCGGGTTGCTTGTCAGTTGATTCGTCAAATGGCACCGCACTCGACGTTGTCGTTTTATTTTTAGTTACCTCCAGAGATTCTCAACAGCCCCACGCACATTGCTTTCCGTATTTCCGCAGGTGCAACGCAGCGAGATGGAGCGGAATCCAGTCACGGCAACCGGAGGTGGAGGAGGCGGAGCAGGAGGAAGTGAACCCAGCGATCAGGAGGAGAAAAAGTCACCTAGTGCCGCCGATTATATGCTTAACTTCAAGAACATCATTGCAGCGGGTAATGAGGCCTCCATGACCAGAGAGTTTAATCCCCAGGTGGCCTATGAGTTCGAGAAGTATCTCAATCCCTTGAAGCTCAAGCAGCACGTGCTGAAGAGTGAGAAACTGCGATCCATTCTGGAGCATTATGCTAAGGAATCGGGTCAGCCGGTTAAGCAGTTGGAGCGCCAGGCCAAGGAGATCATTGAGGAGATCGGCCTGGATCGTAACATGGCCATTATTCGGTGGTGCGGTATCGCCATCACAGCCATTGGCAAGAGGATCTGTGATGGATTCTACGTGAATTCCGCCAGCATGCTAAATGTGCGCAAGGATATGGGCAAGTGTCCGGTGCTCTATCTTCCCAGCCATCGCAGCTATATGGACTTTATCCTAATGTCGTACATCTGTTATTACTATGACATCGAGATACCTGGAATAGCCGCCGGAATGGGTATGTATTAAATTAATCCTTTGAAGATTAAATAAAAACATGTTTATTGAAAAGAGAGCAAAGGCCTCATTTGGCCACAATTTCGATTAGAGGTTATTTATTTATGATTGTGAATTTACTACTCGCTGTTAATACTACTTTTCTTTTACTGATTAGCTTATTAAACATTTTTTCTAACAAGATTACTCATTTCCCTTCAAAAGTATAAATGTATGCGGCTTGTTTAATAGTGTTGAATTAATTTGTTTACTATAAACACTTGCATAATATACAAATTCAAGTGTATTGCCTACAAATGTGCTTAAATTATTAATTAGTTAGCATGTCATTTATCGTATTGTCAATACCTAATTAACTTTTTTTACCTAGCGATAATTACACCCTATGTTTGCATTGACATTAGTTTAATTAGCAAATGAATGTGTCATTTTTATAATTTGGTTCACGAATTTCACGCTTCCGTGGAATGATGTCACAAATTTAAATTGATTTTGTTTAACAAATTACTCAAACTAAATCAAAATAGTTAATATACAGTAGAATTCAAACAGCCTAATCTTCGAATGTTCTATCTATCAGATAAATTATAACTAATATTTATTATTATTTTCAGATTTCCATTCTATGTTTGGTATGGGCACCATGCTTAGGAAAACTGGAGCCTTCTTTATGCGTCGCAGTTTCTCCAACGATGAGCTTTATTGGGATATTTTCCGGGAGTACATGTACGCTCTGGTGGCCAATTATCACATCGGCGTGGAGTTCTTCATCGAGGGCACTCGTTCACGGAATTTTAAAGCTCTCGTGCCAAAGATTGGCCTTCTGTCGATGGCATTATTACCTTACTTCACCGGTGAAGTTCCGGATGTGATGATTGTGCCAGTTAGTGTCGCCTACGAGCGGGTCCTGGAGGAGCAACTATTCGTCTATGAGCTTCTTGGAGTGCCGAAACCCAAGGAGTCCACAAAAGGTTTCTTTAAGGCTTTAAAAATCATAGATGAGCGGTTTGGAAAGATGTTCTTGGACTTTGGAGAGCCAATTTCCGTAAAGGAATTCTTTGGACACGACAGTGCCCAGCGGATGCAGCGCGCCGGTGTAGGAGGACAGCTACAAAAGTTAAACCGACAGGAGGTGGATCTGGTAAAGCAGCTGGCCAATGAGATTATCTATCAGCAACAGCGACGCATTGTGATCACTACTTTTAATCTGCTGAGCCTGTACTACGCCAGTCAATTGTATGCCCAAAAGAGTGTCACCATTGATGAGCTATCCCGGGGTGTTCTACATCTGAAGCGCATCTTCGAGCAACTGGGAGCACATGTCAGCACCAAGCCAGGCAGCATTAAGGCCGATATTATTGATGCTGTGGAGATACACTCAAATATCCTGCATTTTGTCAACGCTCGATTGCAGTTCACACCGATGGCAGCCAAGCAATTGGCGGATAAGATCGATGTGAAGCGACTGAAAGCTCATGCGCTCTGTCCACAAACCATGGCGGTGGCAGTTCCCATGCTGGCTCTACAGCTCTATGTGAATCCCTGCATGTTCTGGCTGGCTAGACCGGCCTATCTCTTGCTGGCGGCTCTCAAGGAGCAAAGGAGTCAACAGAAGTGCCTGGATTCTTCAAGCATCTCATACGATTCTACTTTGAGTGCTCTTCATGCGCATGTAACCAACATGGATGAATTGTTTCAGCATGAGTTCATCATTGAATCGAACCGCGAGGCTGCAGAGTTCGAGACGCATCTAAAACTGCTCCTCGACGAGCGGGTTGTGGACGTGGCGAAGAATGGAAGGATCAGGGTACAGGATAACGAGTGCGCGCATGTTATATTGGCCGCCCTCGCCCCATTCCTGTGTCTCTACTACCAGTTGGTGGTCGCCTTAAGAAAAGTGAGTGATTTATTTAAATTTCTACCTTTAATTTTCTTATATATCCCAAATCTTTTCAGATTCCTTTGGATATTGAATTTAGCAACAAAGATCTCCTCGTTCGCGTCCAGAAGCATGTGGAACAGCTGCTACAGCAGCCCGGCGGAACTGCCTTCCACGTTCATCCGTATTGCTTGGCGCTGGATAACCTAAATATTGCCATCTACGCTCTGATACAAAGGGGCTATTTGCTCAAGAGCCGAGACTCTGGGCAGTTGAAGATCCCCGGAACGCCTGGGAAGTGCCTTGAGGAGCTGGAGAGACAGCTGCTCGAGTATTGTCAATTAATGCCATTCGCCCAATACTCAACGGCGGCCAACCAGCAGGCCCAGTTTCACATAGCCAAATTATAACTGGCAAATGGTAAGAGGCCGACGGGGGAGGAGGCAGCAAGGGGAACGGAAACTGATCGCAGTCTGGACCCCGACCTGAATCCCAAGCAGTGTAGTACAATTTTGTTTTCATTGTCCATACAATTCATTCAGTTTGTTGTCGGCCTGCTCAAGAATTGTCGCATCATCTGCATTCTGTTCTTCATTGTGGTTGTGGCTCCGCTCAAGCAGCTTCTCCGCTGGCTCATTGAATCCTCCCATTCCTTCACATAGGTTTAAGTTTGGGGTGTTTGGTATAATCGATTTAAATGGCAAACTACAAATTCAGAATAAAAAGGCGCTGGGTAGTTAATGAGCAATATTAAGTAATATTTGCCTGGGAGAGAGTAAAGTTTATGAATAATTTAATTAATTAATTGATATCCTAAAAGAAACATACATTCCCAAATTAAATTCTCTGATCAAAATATATGAATTTAATAATTTACAAGCACGTTTTTTACGCCTTTTGAAAATTGCTTAATATTGCTCAGAGATAAATAATGGCCTAAAGATTATATGCCAAGGAAAATCGTGCCATCATCCTATATAGTGTGTTTGTACGAGAGAAAGCTAGAGTTTATCTTTAAGCCTCAGAAACTGATATTTTATGTTCGTTACGCCATGGAAAACAAACAAATGAAATTCACAAAAAAAGCCAAAAGAAATAAGCACTTTCATAAATCGAATTTTGATCAACAAATTTTTGTATAGAGAAAAATGGTAGATCCCATCGAAATATATATATTCTATATATTTTTAGCCAAGGAAATGTTACCCATCTAAAGTGACAAAAAATATAACAATTTAAAAGATTTGGTTAACATAAGATTATACTAAAAAGGGAAATTAAGAAAATTCTTTCAAAAAACAAAAAACTTTAAATTTTGGAAGAAAACATTATTTTTAAAAATATTCAGCGGTGACCTTTTCTTAAAATTATTTAGGAATATCTTTATTATGCTTTTTGAATAATGCTACGGTTGGCATTATTTTAATGTTAGATTTAAGCTGTTTTTGGGTTAAGCATTTGTTAATTTTAATTGGTGTTAAGTTTGTATTTCATTTTACTTTCTATTAAGTTGGTTATATTCAATGGCGCTGCTTTTAATTTTAATTATTCAATTGTGCCAATACACACAAGAGTCAGCACCACACAAATATATACACACATGTATATAGTTTCGAGGCGAGCCACAAGACTTGCCATTAGTTAAATAAAATAATGGTTGATTCCGATATCTGATCCGCTTAAGGATCAGATTATCAGATTTTTCCCAGCACAAAAAGGCCAGCGCAAAGTGCAATACCAAAATGTTCTGCTTAAACATATTTTTAGACACCTTTTTCGTTTTATTTTTGTGGTAGCAAATTTTATATTTATATAAAGAATTAAAGAGAAAATAACAACCATTCCTAACTACACTCGCTAGTAACTAAACCAGAAGAAAACAAGAGCAATAATAAAGAAATTAGTCAGAAACCTAATTATTAACAATCTATTAAGCTAAGGATTATCAAAGGAACTCCCGTTTGAACTGGTCCAGGGTGCGTTGGCTTATGACCACGTGCATCATCAGGCGCTCTGGATTCTCCTCATCCGCTTTGGTCTCCACCACGGCAGCGTTCTTATAAAGCCAGGCCATTTCGGGCCCCCCGTTGGGAACTCGCATCTGCAGTTTCCTTCGCCCGGTGGCGGTTAATATCTGCTGTTCAATGTCCGCCAGCAGAGGTTCCAGTCCAGTTTGGGATCGGGCTGAAATATGATGCACCGCAGCTGCATCTGGAGCAACTTCGGGGATGCATGGTACCAAATCACATTTGTTGTACACATCGATTATCGGAGGCAATTGGCTGGCCGTGGAATCTCCGCCAGCCACATTGAAGGCCAGAGAGCGCAGCGTGGCTTCCACATGACTTCGTTGGGCGGCGTGGCATGGGTGCGACAAGTCCTGGACGTGGACAATTACGTCCTATTTAAAAAAGGAAGAAAATGTAACTGGTATTAAACCGAAGAATTATCCACTTACTGCCAGCATTGCATCCTCCAAGGTTGCCACAAAGCATTCGAATAATCCAGTGGGCAGATCAGACATAAAGCCCACGGTGTCCATGTAGATGACTTCCAGGTTGCAGGGCAAGCACCCAGCATGGGCAGTCACATCTAGAGTGGCGAATAGTTGATTCCTTGGCTGTAACGCATCCTCCACAGTTAGAGCCTTGATCAGCGAAGTCTTTCCGGCATTGGTATATCCCACCACCGCCACAATGGGATAATTCTGCTGCTTGCGCTTCTGGCGTAGCAACTGCCTTTGCCGGCGCACACGATCTAGTTCTGCTCGCAACTTTCGTTCACGGGTCCGCAGAATCTCCTTTTGCAAATCAGTTAAGGCATATCCCTGGCGCCGTGTCTGAGTTACACTTGCATCCTTGGCCTGGGCCCATATATAGGGAAGTTCTGCCATTGCCACCTGAAATGCATTATAAATAATCATTTTATTATTAAGTAAGCTATTTAACAATCCTTACCTGAAGCCTCGCCTCTGCACTTGTGGCATGCAGCCTTAGGATTTGTATGACCACCGAGTAACGATCCATCACTGGCAATCGGAACTCAGCCTCGAGAAAACGCTTCTGGGCAAAAGATAACGTTCCTTTGCTAACAAAAAGGCAGGTTAGATGCCGCTCCTGTCGCAAATCGGCCACAAGAGCCTTGAGCTCCACCAGCTTCCCGCTGCCGAATAGCGTCTTCTTCTCGAGACTTTCCAATGGTACTTTGATGGCCATGGCTACCTGCCAGTTAGGAAGGGAGTGAATTAATGCGGATGCCTCGGCAAGTTGATCATCTGGTCGGACATCGCTGTTGGGGCTGCTTTGGCGCTTGGCTGCCCATTTAACGTAGGGCTGCAGGATGAGCACTTGCTGGGCGCTGGCTGTATCCCGGGTGATCCTCATAGCTCCACCAGCTACTTCGTCGTAGGCGCTGGAATGAAAAGTGTAACAAATGAATAAGAAAACTTTACATTTTTTGGATAAATATGAACAAATTAGACTTAATGTGTTATATTTAAGTATTTACATCAATTTTCCCTTACTTACCGATCATCCAAAAAGCGCATGTCTGTCGGATCTGCCGTTAATTGCTCTTTTTGCTCCATGTCACCTTCCTCATCGACTCCTTGTCCCGCCTGCATCTGTGCCTCGAAGTAGCTCTTCCTGTTCCGAATACCCTTAACCCCTTGGTGTTGCGTGTACTTAAAGCGCAAGGGCACCGCGGCCATCGGACGCGGAAGAGGAAGACTCCTGGCCAGACGCACCCACGTCCGCAGGCTCGACATGACTAAACCTAATTAATTAAAGCTGGCTATAACTAAAAGGTCTTCTCGTGAAGCACGGAATGCTTGTCCTCAAAGGCCATCCACGCCGCCTGGCAGGATTTCGTGCGGGTCGAAGTTACTTGATAGGAAACGCCGGTAGCCACCAGGGAGGAAACAAGGATATTGTACTTGACCGGGTAGCGAATGCGGGACTGTATAATCTTCTGTGCAAAGTAGCTGCCGGAAAAGCCTGCAATTTGTGTAATTTATTATGCAATTCTTTCAAAAATAAAGAAGACAGCGACGAACCCAAACAGAATGCGGCGAGGCCCGTGAAGAGGGAGCGGGTCATGCAGTCCATGTAACCATCGAATCCGGGATGCTTCTCGCGCTGCTGGTCCTTCAAACGCTTGATATCGTTCATAATAAACGTGTATTATAATGTGACAATTGTTTTATTCCCCAAGAATCATAAAAAAAAATATTTAAAAATATTGAACACTTTTTAATTAAAAATACCGAAGAAAGTGATGTGTGAGGTTCTAGGTTTTTTTGCCAATGGTCACACTACAAATTACAAAAACAAAATCCCCGTGTCAAATTTATATATGTTAGTATTTATTTACCGTAACGATGAATAGCCCGCCAGGAAATATTCCTATTGACCATTTGAACAATTTTATAAAATATGCATGCCCCATGAATGGAATTGACATTCCAAGCATTTTGGTAGATGTTTCATCAAAATCCCTTCAGCCGTTCAAGAGAAAACATCACTTTTTAATTTATTTCCATAAATGTTCCTTCGAAAAATAAAAATATCTGGCAGCACTGTCTGCCTAAAATTAAGTCAATTTGATTTAAACTTTATTAAATATACTTTTGCAAAATGAAGATCGTAACACTAACGGGATCGCAATCCTGAACATTTTGATCCATGTTTCGGCAAAATCCGTTCAGTCGTTAATGAGAAATCCCGACTTTTTTATTTATTGCCGTAAATGTATGTATCTAGGTCTAGTTTGTTTATAATTGAAGAGACAGACAGTTGGACATGGCTAGATAGACTCGGCTGTTGATGCTGATCAAGAATATATATACTTTATAGGGTCGGAAATAATTTATTCACGGCGATGCAAATTTTTGACCTGAAATCATATTCCGAAGTAAGGGCATTGAAGCACTAGATTTGAGAAACAAATTTTCGAAATAACAATTAATAGTCTGCCCAATAAAGGATATCGTTATTCTAAGCAATTTGGTAGATGTTTCATCGAAATCCGTTCAGTCGTTTTGGAGAAATTAACATTTGAATTACTAATTTATATACTAAGGAGGCATGACTATGCACCCCTGGTACCAAACTGCAATAAATAAAAAGTCGGGATTTCTCATTAACGACTGAACGGATTTTGATGAAACATATATCAAAAAGTTCAGAACTGCGATGCCGTCTATAGTACAGTCTTCGTTTTGCATACGTTTAACCATAAAGCTTAAATCAAGTTTTCTTGGTTTTTAGGCAGGCAGGGCTGCGGGATATATTTATTCTTCGCTGGCACATAAATGGAAATAAATGAAAAAGTCGGGATTTCTTATTAACGACTGAACGGATTTTGACGAAACGTGGATCAAAATATTCAGAATTGCGATCCCGTTAATGGTACGATTTTCATTTTTTTTTAAATAAAGTTTAAATCATATTGACTTAATTTCAGGCAGACAGTGCTGCCAGATATTTTTATTTTCGAAGGAACATTTATGGAAATAAATGAAAAAGTGATGTTTTCTCTTGAACGGCTGAACGGATTTTGATGAAACATCTACCAAAATGCTTGGAATGTCAATTCCATTCATGGGGCAAGCATATTTCATACAATTGTTTATATGGTCAATAGGAATATTTTCTGGCGGGCTATTCATCGATAGGGTGTGGGAGGTGGCCTTATCGATATGAAGCCAGTGTTTGTGAATGAGATAGGAAAAAGAAAACGATAATTTTTAAAGATCTTTGGGTTAAATTTAATAGAGATTTAATTCGAAATTAAATAATATTTCTCCCTATCGCTTGAGATAACGTGCAAGCTTGCACCCGTTCATTTAAGGGCGTAAGATTTTTGTAAAAGTTAGCGTCGATTTTGCTTGTGGGGGAGGGCCATAAAATTCCGCCGTGGTATATTCTAAAATAATATTTCCCTGATTTAGATGAAAATTGCACCAAACTGTTTTCAATGGCTTTTCCATTTATTGGGTAGTCACTTTTCTTAATGATTTATTCAACAATTTGTCATTTTTATTTAATTTTTTGTTTTTCTTAACATGGTTCCATGGTCTGGTTCAGCGAATGGTTCTCTGCTGGTTCCCATATGGTTCCATTTTCATAGTTCGCGCCTTAGCTATCAGCCCAAATACACCACCCACTGTTATTCGATTTTCTCGAAATCTGACGGTTAAAAACAATTGAAATGTTTACTAAATATTGGTTAGTCCTTCCTCTAGTAAGCCTATATACCGCGCATATGTGCACGCGTTCGTTAATCGAAGTGATAAACCTTACAATTTTGGATGCCCTACCCCCGAGCCGACCCCGAGGTTAGATCACTGTTAAGCGATTTGCTCAAAAACTGACGGTTTGAAGAAATGGAAACTTGGTAGGGTATAACTAGAATAAATATCCTTCATTTTGACGAATTGGGTATTGCACGCGTTTGATTAGCCGATATATTAAGAAATCCGTGAAAACTCGATTTTGCACATGCTTTTTTTTAATATATCCAAATGTCAAATACTTTCAAACCCAGTAAAAAATAATAGTAAATTAATTTTGTAGCATTTAGAAACTTTTTTTTATTTGAATTAGTGCCTTAATTACGAAACAAATTAAAAATTTAAGATCCCTTGTTTTATTTTCCTACCGTTCCATTTCGGCACTAACTCATCGACGTTAATTTGACGGACTATAGTATTTGGTATTTTACACGAGGTATTTTGGTATTTTACCAGCGAGTGGCCACACTATTCGCAAAGTCAGTTATCGAATTGCCCAGCCTATTATTTGTTTTTATTGTTTTCATTGTTGAAATAATAAACGGGAGGAGCACCATGAAGAAGAAGGTAATGTATTTATTCATACAATTAGTTGCGGGATGTATTTGTATCGTATTTACCTTTGTACAGGTGTTGCTGATGGGGAAGAGCGGGTCGGGGAAGACCAGCATGCGTTCCATTATCTTCGCCAACTATATTGCCCGTGATACGACACGCCTCGGAGCAACAAGTGAGTAAAATGACTATATAATCTGACATCTGAAACCAATTCCCTCCAACTACTGCCCGCAGTCGATGTGGAGCACTCGCATGTCAAGTTCCTGGGCAACCTGGTGCTGAATCTCTGGGACTGTGGCGGCCAGGAGGGATTCATGAAACAGTACTTTGCCCAGCAGCGCGAGAACATTTTCCGTCATGTCGAAGTGCTCATCTATGTGTTCGATGTGGAGAGCCGGGAGATGGAACGCGACGTCCACTACTACCAGAGCTGCCTGGAGGCCCTGCTGCAAAACTCGAAGGATGCGAAGATCTTCTGTTTGGTGCACAAGATGGATCTGGTGCCGGAGGAGCATCGCGAAAGCGAGTTTAAGGTGCGCGAGGATGATCTCATCCGATTGTCTAAGCCCGGCAATGTCACCTGTTTCCGCACCAGCATTTGGGATGAAACATTGTACAAGTGAGTTTACCTTCGCCTGTAAATGACTTTTAGTTAACCTTTAACTGATTTACAGAGCCTGGTCTTCCATTGTCACCATGCTGATACCGAATGTGGCCGTCCTGAAGAACTCGGTAACGCACTTTGCAAACGTTATCGAGGCCGATGAGGTGCTGCTGTTCGAGAAGGCCACCTTCCTGGTGATATCCCATTGCCAGAGCAAGAAGAATCGCGACTCGCATCGCTTCGAGAAGGTGTCCAACATTATCAAGCAGTTCAAGCTGAGTTGCTCCAAGCTGGGTGCCAAGTTCCAGTCAATGGAGGTGCGTAATAATGCGTTTGCCGCCTTCATCGATACCTTTACCAGCAACACCTATGTGATGGTGGTGATGTCGGATCCCACCCTGCCCTCGGAAGCCACCCTGGTGAATATACGGAATGCACGAAAGTACTTTGAAGAGCTGGAGAATCCAAACAACAGTGCCATGAGCCATCACGGCCACAAGTACCACTGAATTGTGCAGCTCATTGTTTTCCGTAAATTTCCCCAATGCCGTTTTCCGTTTAAAAGACATGAAACTCGGTCTGTTGTTGTGCACACATCGAAGCGCCCAATGTGGTGCGTCCCAAAGTCTTACCGCTTCCCGTAATGATAAATATGATAAATACGTATATATGTATAAATCTCTCACTTGCTACAGGACTATTTAAAGTGGTTAATTCTCGTAATACCCTGATTCATATTTTGTATAAAATTCGTTATGGCAACATGTGTAATTTTCCATCCCTAAGATTTTCTTGTTAGATTTATGAGATGGTCTTTAAGCAAGTGAGCGATGGATAGCCATCTTCTTCGTTGATTTTTCGTAGATTTGTAAGTTGAAACCTTAGTAGGCCTTAAGTTTATATACAAAAAAACAATTACACACTTATAAATACACAAAACAATCCTAACCAATGGTCATTTGTAAATGCCGTAAACTGTAGATAAGGCCCACATATCACAGATAATCTAGTTTGTTGATCCGCGGATATTGTGCCTACGAATAGAATCTCCTGACCTCCTCCGACAATCGGTCCACGCTGTCCTCATCCACAGCCATGAATCTCTTGGCGCCGCGACTAAAGTAATAGATGTCACCCGTGTAAATATCGAACCACAAGGCGTGTATGTGAAGGTCATGTGACTCCAGCCGGGGCTTAAGGAAGCCATAGGAGGCTATATTGGACATCTGCTGCAGTGTGTTGATCTGCGATAGCTTATCCTCGACGGCGAACTTCTGCTCCTCATCGATGTAGGCCACAAAGCGCCGCAGCGGCGTTTCCGAGGAGAAGAGC